CATCAAACCGGTCGACTTCAATGATGATCCTATTCTATAAGGAGGAAGAGACATCTTCCTTTGACAACCATATGAGAATCAGTCTGACTAATATAGTGTTCAAGAGCCTCGAGTCTGTAGTCATCCGATGACTAACAGGATGTCGAGAACAGAAAACTTGAGAAAATCAGGCATGTTTCAAATCACCTTGCGTCATGTCTGGCGAGAAATCTCAGTATCTGTCAAACGACGAGTGTACTGCGCTGCAGTCCGTTCTGTTATACGTTTGTTTGCTATACACGGCCATAGAAAGTAGAAGATATGAAGCAGTTACGGGTTTCTGACTACAGCTGTGCTCTTGGCACTGCTGCCTTATGTTGGTATCATCATGTGAACAATGTTGAGATCAAGTGAAAGGTACTAGTCGAGGTAGGCAAATCGTTTGAGGTTGTGAACCTTAGTCGATTGAGTTGGCTTGGATGTTTTGCGCAAGCTGAACCACAGCCTGGCTGAACGTGCGATGCTGATTTACGTTGGGATGGGTATCATGGTGAGCAGACGAAGATGTGGCACTAGTCGATGAAGTCTCTGACTATTGATCGGAGCCGAGTGGGGAGATGTAGACCAGCTGGTTGGTCAGTGTCCTCAAGGCGACAGAAACCAGTGGTTGAGGGCTCTACACGACCGCTGAAAATCAGTCAAAACGACGCAGACGTATTACTGTTTGACATCTTTTAAAGCTTGAATATTCACACTAACCGCTATCTTGAGGTTACTTATTCTTACACAACTTTGGTTTGATATCCCTTTTTCTATCCACCCGTTTTTTGTTTACCATTGTGAAGTGCAGTAGCTTGAACCGATGTACTTGTGTGCGATGTTCTACTTTGATTTTTTTGTCTGATACACAAGCCCGACCACGACGCCAGTGTAGGAGCTATCGGTCGGGATTATTTTCAAGTGACCACTGATACTGGAAAACGATGGATGAATACCATGAGTGAACACTATAGGAGCAAACAATGTGCTGATTTAATGTTAAATGTCACTTATCTAAGCTCAGTAGCAATTTTCAAGACATGAACTTACGTCCAGTAGAAGCATTCTGCACAAACTTATGCACAGCTGGTCTGATAGTTATTTCAGTATTCCAACTACTTACGTTTTACACACTGAAACATTTGAATCACGAATTGAGAAACATTTCTCCATGTCAATAGTCCTAACCCACGGATGGAATGGCTTGTAATTTGTCAGTTGCATCAGTCACCATGATATATGAATACAACTTGTCCTTTATTGCTCTAATGACAGACACTAGTCAGTCTATCATCTCATTGTCTAGATGGGAAATCAGCAGAACGACCTACTAATTCTAACCAATCACTACAAGTGAATGGACTATACCTCAGAATTTTGGGGGCAGGTTATTTGCTCACAATTCCTAAAACACTATGCACAACTCCACATTTTATGAAAAAGCACAGAAATAAGATATCTATTACCAACAATGTGATGTAGAGGAATAACACTCAAAATGCACTAAATTGTCTGCAGTATCAGGTTTGCTTTTGTAGGCAGTCAAGCTCTTAATCAGTACACTGTCACTAATAAACAGTAAATGATTGAAAAATATAATCAACGAATGAGTTTTGTTGAAGAAAACCGTTAATATGAAGTACATTGAAAACCTCCAGTTTTGCTTCCTGATATAAATTGTCATACTTTTGAAACCTTTGCATTACTGATCTTTTAAGTGCTTCGAATATCTAGTCCAAAAATCCCAATGGTAATAATCGAGTTGTTTTATTGTGTGAAGTGTTTATATAGATCCTCAGGATCCATGAGCGTGTTTAATGAGTTGATACGTATCTTCGCACTCGCCAAGTGCGCAGTTCGAAGGATAAAGCAAAGCCTTTTCGCACTTAACTAAACAGCTGTGACGTACCAGACTCTTGTGACTGTATATGCTTGCCCATGTAACAAAGTAGCACTACGTGTATGAGTGCCTAATAACCACAAGTGACCGTTGAGTAGCCGCATAATAACGCCTAAATTCAGTATTGCGCATTCACTATGTCAAAACAAAGCCTACTGGTTTGGTAACCAGCTCTTAATCATTCAAATAACATCCTTAGCCGTAAAAATGGACAAGGCTTTCCAGTGCCTAACGAAATACAGTGCACCGCGTTGTTGCAATCTTTTATTAGTGATAGAAAAATTCAGTCGACAGATTTGTACCGACAGCTATGAGGTAACTGCTGTAAGTAAACGTGTGAAATGTGCTGTACAGATGTTATTTAACTACTACATCAACGAGCCTAAGTTCACAGCTATGAACCTACATGCATTTCAGGTACTTGTACTCTAAATCACAAATTATTAAATATCTGCGTTTTTACAATGGCTACTATACTTTTTAATGGATCTATCAACCTAGAACTTCATAATTTACCATAAAAAAATGTTACACTCAATAAAAACTAACTCTTTAAACATTTGTAAAAATGATTCAAACCTCTGATACGGTCAATCGGATGACCTAAGACGTATCCAAGAAGATGTGTATCAGCTAAGGTCATCACTCTAACCATTCCATTGCTTGCATTCCGCATATCGTCCGCACTATTCCCACGAATGCTAGGCCAACCACAAAAGAATATAGTGGCATAGTAAATTAGGTATTCACACACCCATACTAGAGCCACAAAATGGAAAGCGAAATACCATATTCTTCGATGTTCGGTAAAGAGACATACCACACGAAATGACTGAGTTTCGATTAGTCTTCCAAGTTTCTGAAACTAAGAACAGTTATTATTGTTACTTAGAAGACCAGAGGATAAAAGAAGTATTTATTGTCATAGTAAATTTATTTTGACATATATTTGTAGTATAGTTCTCCGACATCGTAAAGTCCTATGAAATGCCACCCGTCTTCCTTCATGTGATACACTAGAAAAATGGTTATTAGTCACTAATAGGTTGCAACATACAGTTAACAAATCCACCAGAAGCTGCGTCGCGATGTGTAGCATGGAATATTGACCGCTTAGCAAGTTCATATGCGTCTTCATCTTTCATCTCATATTTATATCCAGTATCTAGAACACCGTAAGCATACGGACTCCCGGACCCCACAGAAAACAGGTTTCCAGGCGTTCGGTTTCCATCAGTATCAACATAGTAGACGCCAGGTCCATTTTTATCCCAACCAACAATGGTTGTGCCGATACTTAGACCCATTCCTTTGTAATTATAGATCATGTTTGCTAACAACTTTGATGCAGCAGCTACGGATATCCTTTCCTTATTTCTTAGCTCAAACAACCTGTAAATGACACAAATAACCGTTTATGTCACCTGCAATGCTTTGTCAGGACACGCTCCCAAAACTGACAATCTGCAGCACCTCCAGCCATTGTTCCAAGTAGGAACTTATCGATTTCAATGATCTTTTTCGTAGTACCAGATGCTGGAAGATATGACTAGCCTGGGAAAACCTACCAATGTAAGCTCCTGCTGTCGCACGTGAGTCTGTGGCAACAATTACCCCACCAGAATACTTGAATGCAAGAGTGGTGGTTCCATGTTGGAAGTGAATCTTCCTTTCTCCACACTGAAGACCATATTCTATCGGTTTCAGGTAGTTCTAAAACTTATACGCATAACGTAATAAGTACCTCAGACTTTCGATTCCAGTACAAATTAAGTTCTGAGAGGTGAGTGGACATGTCGTTTGCTTTGAAATCATTCCCAAACCTATTCAGGACTTCAAAACCTGTTACTTCTGACAAAGCCATGATGGAGCACTTCGCTTCGAATTCGCGCCAATACAAAACCGTACAGTCTTCAGAATACAGGGTCAGGGGGCTATAAATAACATTAATTGTTATCAGTTGCCGTATTGTGGCGATCCGGTCTTACTCTCAGTGCATCAAGCGAATTTGACGGTACTGTGTGCTCTGGCAAATAGTTTCAGAGGCTCACAACTAAGAGAAAAAAGCCTAAATAAGCATAGGATTCGATCGTAGTTAATGTGCTATTTAAGGATGTCTTTTGAGCTAAGTATTTTCAAAGAGAAACGAGTAACGATGCAAGTTATCACACAGCACAACTATCCAAGTTGCAGTAAGTTGTAATGAAATTACCCTTAATCCTACACTAAAATAGTAGAAAAAGACTTAATTAATTCGGACGTAGTGCAGTTTCTTGACTTCGAAACCCTTTGCACTTGAAGAGACAGGCGTTTTCGTTTTCTGAGCATTAACTTCTAAATTGTAAGGTTTGTTTTGATCTGTGGGTACGCACCCATCAAAAACCACTGTATTTCATCTTTTTTGTGCTGATTATTAACTACATCCGCAGAGTCCCTATTCCAATAGCCAGTATCCAGATAAATAATGGCCTCTTCCGCAAAATTCCCCGAATAAGAACCACCTTAGGTATCCATGTACGTGCCTTTTTTTCACCGAGAATTACGGAAACTCTAGTTAATGATTAGGTTGGTACAGGCTCAGAACCCCCCGGGTCGTTCAGAGCCCGCCACTCGACTGCCAATAAGCTAAGAATGGAGGACGACGATTTCGACCATATGCCCTATCTTGGGACTATTCGACTTGCGCCACAATTTTATATGGCGTGGGGAAAGAGCAGTGATTAGCGTCCGACCAGCAATCAGCCACAGCTTAACACTAAGTTGACGTAAGACCGCTAACTGTGACCTTACTCAGGCTTTGTGCGGGATGGACACATTTTCGAGGTTTAATCTAGTGAAGTGTAGGACTAAATACCTATGGAAGGGGGAAACGTTTCGAAAACAGACAGCATTAACCCTTTTGCCTTTCGGCTTTCGAAATGCCGCACAGACACTCCATGATGTATTCCGTGGTTCACACCTTGTCCACGTTAACACCGATGACTGTTTCGTAAGGAACTCACCTTGATTATTTGGACCTCGAATCTGACATACTAAAAATATACCACATTCCGGTGGAAACCATGAGATATCGAGCAGGAGCCGTATAGCAGGATTTCTTTAGGCACATTGTCAATAGCAAAGCCAAACCCATTATCACACAGAGTCGCATCTGCTCTAAATCACTCGAAGCTGACCACTGCAAAACAACTTTCCGCTTCCATAGGCCTGGTCAACTACTGCCGAAACTTTATCCCTACACTTCCTTCATCAGGCCGGTGACCAATCTGCTTTTTTGGAGTCCAAAGTGTGGAAGTCTGGTCACTGCGACTGACAAGCCCTCAAATACAACAATGCTCCTACATCAGTACTCAAAATGCTTCTTGAAGTATTGTTGTCGATGCATCTGACTCAGTAATCGCAATCTTCTGTGATAGCTAACAAATATTTAGCTCTTTCTTCGAAGCAGCTGCAAGACGCAAAAACTTGGTACATTACATTCTTTAAGGAAATAACAATGCATTGTCATGTTCTCTGTTTCTGACTTTTTTCTTATTATGGTTTGATAATTTCCGGGGAGTAAAACGCCGCTGATCCACTCTGTTGGCTCAGAATCTTAAAAACGTTTCTCACGCAAGCTGTGACAAATGAAATGTTTCGAAGCTCACTTCGAATATCCGCCACATATCTGGACCAAACAGCCCCACAGTGATAAATTGTCTGAAATGTTTTCAGTAAACCGTATTGAAGTGGCTGAAATTGTTGGAGTGATTCGCCTTCAAGTAGATGTTTCTGAGCTGAACCACGAGCGACAGCTCATGGCTCTGAATCTACAACAGTATCTGGCATGTTCCGCCATAAATGCAGTCTTATATAGTGTATCTGCTAGTCAGCCCCAGCTATAGCGCCGAAAAGATACCGACACAACGTTTTCAACAAGATGCACTAACCCTCTCATCCAGATAGGATCTGCCATGAGGTTCATCATGCGAAATCTTCCTGATCTGGAATGAATAGGGACGTTGATGGGTGGGGTGGATGACGCAGCATGTAAAAAGTACAAAATAACCTGGCACGTGAGAAGTCATCTAGAATCATTTTCCGCACCATACGCCTTTTTTGATCGCATCCATAACAGTGTTGTAGAACTAATGATTCCAGCTTTAATCGGAAGTTCTTCCTTCTGAGAGAGAATATTCTTGCCACTGAGGCACAGAATATAGTTTCACATGTTTTAGCTTTACTCTTACTTCGTGACACATCCGCGGAATCCTTAAGCCTGGGAAGCGAGATGATTTTATGGTTTTTATTCTGCTTGCTCAAGGGGCACGATGCAAGCTGCTGAAATATCGTCCTTTCATTAAATTACTCCTTTACTCTTTTCGTATATCTTTGCAGCAACTAAAATATTTCTTCCCGTTAGTGAATTCACGATGAATAACGTATTTTTCGACTTATTTGGTCACATTTTGTGTAATACAGATAGTAAATTCACCTTCCACATAACGGCGAATGATTTTCCGTCTTCAGTAGCCTAATTTTCTAAGACGTTTAAGACCGGCCTGCATAGTTTTAACGGGCTGACCAAGCTGGAGGCACACGGTCAAGCATGTGCACAGATTGGCCTGTTATCATGTTCGGTCGTGTTACCCGTACAAAATGTCCTGGCCAGCTAGTACACATGTCCTGATATGTTGGCAATATTCATCAAATATATAACCCTACCTGGCTACACTACCATGTTCTTGAATGGTCTGTCTTTCATTGGTATTCAGCAAGTCCCAAAAATTAGTGGTTGGCCCCTGTGGCTGTCAAAACTGCGCAAGGGCAATTCCGTTAAATATGATGAAGCAGCCTAAACAGTGCTCATTAAAGAGGCGCCACCAGGCTTGATCGCTTTCGGATAGGGAATGTAATACCAACTGGGGTTTAGCTTTAGCGAATGGTAAAGCGAGTAAAGTAGGATATATCACACATCACAAATCATCATTGGGTCACCTGCTTCCTCCATAGATTTCAATGGAGTAAGAGTAAGTGCTGTTACGCTTTCATCGTACGACCAGAACTTGAGCGCTTGAAGTGTTCACTGTGCCGTCTCTGGATTCGTACCTGCACTGTTGATATGAAGGTTGGGGCACTGCAGTCCTGGACTTGACGTGGGGCCATAAAAAGCTACTTAAGATTTGGAAGATAAAATATTAATGATTTAACTGTGCGAACGTCCACAGGTTTTACAAGCACCAGGCTGGCAAGTCAAGCCCTTTGGTAGCAGATGGCGCGGAGCGATG